AATGCATGAGAGGTTTCCTTGAAATGCGCAAATGCGTGAGCCTCGTCGTAGCGTCCACAGCCCACATTCCCGCATATCAAACATAACCAAAGATTCGCTTCTGAGTGGCAGACTTGGCACTCTGTGGGCTCCTGGTCGCAATCAAAATGTGACGCTGCTCTCTTGCCAAATTCGTCCTGCGTATACCGGCACACGGGACATCCGCTGCCTTTCCATTTTTGTAGGCACGTACAATGGAAGACATGTTGGCAAATTATCGTAAGCAAGCCTGTCGTTTCATCCATGCGCTCCAAGCAGACGGGGCATGTTGGTAGCTCTATGAGCGATGGTGTAGGAGGAGCTAGAGGTTTAGTGGATAAGGAGGACGTAGAAAGGACAGCAGACTGAGCGGGCGACGAATTTGAGGGAATACGGGTATGGTTCACTGTTGAGGGCGTGAAGGGGTCGTTATTCATGTCCGGAAATTTGCTCTCTGTTCCAGGAGCTTCGACCTGGATCTCTACAGTCTTCACGAACACCACATGGCAGGTTTCGGACTACAAAAAAGGTCAAAACAATCAGCAACAATCTTAAAACAACCAAGTAATCAACAAGCAAAAATAAATAAAATACAATAAAATAAAAATCAAAAATCAGGAATAAACTCACCTCCATAGAATTAAAAACTTTTCCATTCCAGTCCCGCTGCCACTCCTTCGCCCTCTTCCCGCTCCGAAACTTCATCAAAACCATATACCGATTTGCCCGCGCGGTCCTAACCATTCGAAAATGACTAACCTCATCACGCGTCTGTTCCCCCACAAACCCCAAAAAGTCCGATGGAGACATATACGACGGCACAGCGAGTATACACAGCGTCGTGCAATCCTCGACAGAATGTGATGATCCGGCGCCACCTGCAGACCCAGATCCAGGTCCAGCAGCTTCAATATCCCCCACCACATCCGCACTGCCATATTTACTATTACCCTTGTTGTTGTTATTACCAATGCCACCAACATTTCCATCAAGCATCGTACTGCGCGCCAGCGCTGATCCTTTCAAAAACGACGGGTCATCATCATCCTTGTAGAGCGCAGACGACTCCTCTACGTCACGGTATAGATGCACTATACCCCATGCGCTCTCTGAGACTTTCTGGTCGAGCGGGATATATTTGCCCTTAGTAGCTAAGCCACCTATGACACTTGTCCCGATGCCCTTGGCGATCTGGTTGCCATTCGCGCTATCACCGTTGTTGCCTTTTCTAACCTGTTGTGGGGGAATTTCTGTCTGCTGTTCGCCCTGACTTTGGCCCTGGCCGCTGCTCCGCTCCGACACCACCATGTCGATGCTTGCGATGGAGATCTGATCTAAGCGTTTGTCGTATGCGAGTTTAGAATAGGCGGTAGAAGACGAAGTAAATGGTGAGATGGCAGCTGAATCATCTAGAGGTTGTGCGCGATATTGATGCGGATAAGGGCCAGCTTGCTGAGAAGCGCCACAAAGAGGTGTTATACTCACTGTTGCAGCGGTGGGTGTGGTGGTAGTGCCCGACGAGGCTCGATATTGGATAATGCCGTTCGTATCCTGATCTATTACAAGTAAATGATTAAAAACGATTCGATAAAGGTAACACTTTACTTGCCTTCACCATCTTTCTCCCAAAAATATATATCATTCACATATCACCGACTCCATCCCCACTCAAAACTCAATACAGGATAGGGATCGAAACTCACCAACCTCCCTTAACCCCGCACTATTTCCCCCAACAACACTATTTCTACTCTCCCTCAGAACACCACCGTTGCTATAGCTATAGCTATCCCCCTTCACCCCCTTCCCAGCTCTAAGCCTCTTCTTCTGCTGGAAGGGCTGAAACGCGTCTCTGAAAGTTTGAATTATATGCTGATCACTGGGGCTATGATTGCTATGACCGGACGATGATGCGTGGGGTTCGAAGGATCTATCGTTATGGGACTGCGAATAAGAATTTAACCTTTGATCCGGATTGCCAGATAGTAATTCCAAAGATATATGGTAGAAGTAGGAGGGCATGGCCGGATTATAGATGGAAGATCCAACTACATCACATCTTCCTCCCAGAATGACATAACCTTTTATTCGTCAGGTATGGAGGTGACCAGTAGTTGTATAAACGATGGTTTTTTTAATGCAATTGCGCTGTTGTTGTTTGGAAGATCCAAAAGATGTGATTGATATGACTCCTTTAGAATTCAGACAAATGGGTGCAAAGCGAGTTATCATGTGATTTATGACGCAACCTTCCTGCATGTAAACGTATGTGAATTGCTTACATCCCGAGATTGCCACGAAAATGAATGATGGCAAGATCTAAGCTATAATAATAAATAAAAAGGTGGCAAGAATAGAAAAATTTAAGTGCTTCAGATGATTACATTCTACGCAACAAGAAAACGTCACGAACTGAATTGGCTGAGGAAAGAATGTATCGAGAGCGAAATAGAAGTTCGTGTCTGAGTTGTAGTGAAGGAGGATATGAAAGAAGTTATTGTAATAAGCAGTTTAAGTAAATGAATGCATCCCAGTCATAATAAAACTCGAAACCCGATCATGAAATATTCCATCCATCCATAGACGCCAGAGCCGGTAATGGTGAAAATTATTTCCCCAGCCGTAGAAAAGACAAGTTTGAAAACAAAGCACCAAAAACGCAAGAAAACCAGAAATTCAGTGGCCACCCCGCAATCTCAGGACCAGATGGAGAGTGCTCTCCTTCTGGATATTGTAGTCCGAAAGAGTCCGACCATCCTCGAGCTGTTTACCAGCAAAGATTAGACGTTGCTGATCCGGTGGGATACCTTCCTTATCTTGGATTTTAGATTTAACATTATCAATGGTATCGGAGCTCTCAACTTCAAGCGTAATAGTTTTGCCGGTCAGGGTTTTAACGAAGATTTGCATGCCACCACGGAGACGGAGGACGAGATGAAGAGTGGACTCCTTTTGGATATTATAATCCGAGAGAGTACGACCATCCTCAAGTTGTTTTCCGGCGAAAATAAGGCGCTGCTGATCGGGGGGGATGCCTTCTTTATCTTGAATTTTTGATTTAACATTGTCAATCGTATCTGAACTCTCGACTTCAAGTGTGATGGTCTTTCCGGTCAGGGTTTTAACGAAGATTTGCATTCCTCCACGCAGACGAAGAACCAAGTGAAGAGTGGACTCCTTCTGAATATTGTAATCAGAAAGGGTACGACCGTCCTCCAGCTGCTTGCCGGCGAAGATTAGGCGCTGCTGGTCTGGAGGAATGCCTTCTTTATCTTGTATTTTCGACTTAACGTTGTCGATGGTATCGGATGACTCCACCTCTAGGGTGATGGTCTTACCGGTGAGAGTTTTGACGACTGTGCGATATTTAGTTATTTGTTTTTCATCGTCGAGCAAAGCCCAAAGGCCATGACTCGTGAAAGGCTGTATACTTACAGATCTGCATGCCGCCACGAAGACGAAGAACCAAGTGGAGAGTTGACTCCTTCTGAATGTTATAATCAGAAAGGGTGCGACCGTCCTCCAACTGCTTGCCGGCGAAAATCAGACGTTGCTGGTCAGGAGGAATCCCTTCCTTGTCCTGAATTTTGGACTTGACACTATCGATTGTATCAACCGACTCAACTTCGAGGGTTATAGTCTTTCCGGTAACTGCAGCAGAGGGCTGGTCAGTTATCCTGTCTATAATCACTGCATAGAAGATAACAAGAAACGATGGAGCAACTCACGAGTCTTCACGAAAATCTGCATGGTGGCGGTGTGATAGCTTCAGCGCTTACGATCTAGATCAACTTTGAAGAGGGAACGAGTTATGATGACAACTAGAAGAGAGGAAGTGCGAGTGAGAAAACGGAACAGATGGACGTCTAGGATAGGTGTCAAACGGGGATGCTGAGGATGGAGAGGAGGAACTTTGACTGAGATGGTTGTTGTAGAAGAGAAGAAGAAGAGAAAGGAAGTTGGAGGAAAATGGTGGAAGATGGGCAGGCGGTTGGTTTTAAGTAGAAGCCGCAGCCAAGCCTAGGCAGACTTGAGAGCAAGCGGCGTGATCACGTTGGTTGGGGCGAAGTTGGCTGGATTAGTCACCCTACAGTCACCACCCAGTTAACTAAAACTAGTTAGTTAGTTCAACCGGTTTCACTAGTAACCAGCGGCTGCCTGTTGCTGGCCACTCACAGCCACACAGAGCGTGCCGCTATACCTTATTGGCACTAGCGCAGAATTGTCCCCTATGACGTCTGGAACTCTCGCCCGCAGAATGACTCAGCATGTGTTCAAGCATTCAACCTTGGGGAAGATGATCAATAATTGAGGAAATTATGTGTACGATCTGCTTTTTAAGAGTGTACCCTGACTCTGGTTGCGGTGACTGATAGGTTGCACTTCTTATCTCTCCAAAATGCTCCTTGATGAAACGTCTCAAGTGCGGATTGTGCCTCCATCAAAGAGACATTCAGGTCCTGCACCATCAACTCCAACAGTTGGCATGAGTTAAGTATTTCTTTAGCTGCTTACTATGCCTTTACTGACCAGTCATTGCCGCTTGACAACAGTATCTCATTGATAATGGTGACCACCGGAACTGCAGATTCCCCTCTTCCCAACAATAGACCTACCTTGTCGTCTTCGTTCTCTCGAAAAATCGAAAAATCGAAAAACAACTCTCTAACTGCTATCAATTGTTTCAGCCACAGTTCACTATCCAAATGCCGCAGTGTGAGCAAGAACAGGAATGAAAAGACACAGGCAGCTAATTTTCGACAGAAACCAAGGCCATGCGAATTGAGCTATATCAAGTGGCTAACTGGATGAAGTATTACGCTCTTTGATTAATCTTAAGCTTTAAGCGACTGTGAGCTATTATATTGTTAACATCTACCTAGACACCGACTTGTCGGAGACAGCAAGAAAAATATAAAAAGGTAAAGACCGTTACGCCCTGAAACGCCAATACTCAACATATACCTTTGGCTCAATTCCCCTTAGATACAGTTCATACCCATGAACTTATCGTATTGAACACAGCTCGTGCAGCCTTGAGACAAGCAGAAAGCGCTTTCTCTGCAAGTAAATGCACGGCAATTAACGTTAGGAGTGAGCCCGCCATTCTCATTTCTTTTTTGGAAATCCACCATTTGAAGGTGATCTTGAACCTCCGGGTTCGTCAGCCTGGTTGGGAGTATGTTGTTGGGCGGCGAAAACAAATCCTTCTCTGGAACCTCATGGCCATTGACTTCAGCCCAGACCTCTTCCAGGTGTTTTTTTGCTTCAGGGTCTGTCTGAGACGAGGCAACTTGCATGAGCTCGTGGTTGGTCATTCTTACGGCGGCAATCACATTGCCCTTACTGTCGAAGGACCGGACGATTCCATCATCGGCCACATGCGTGAAGCCGTGGGGGTCGGTTTGCAGCTCACGTATAAGTTCCATCGCATGCGGCTTCTGGCTGCCCTATAAACGTATTAGCTCATAGCTCTACCTCACCACCTACATACTTCTTTCCGTTGAAAGTTGGAGGGTATGTGGCATGCAAGTGCAAGCTGGCGTTTAACTCACGTTAGGGGCAGCATCAACGCCGACACCCTACATCAATGAGGTTATATCAGTACATTTGTCCCCCAATTAAAGAAATGCAAGTCGTTAAGCTCCGAGATCCGGCTCCATGGTCATATACTTACATTCAGCGGCGACCCCTGGACAGCAACAACACCAAGGAGTGCAAGAAGGACGCTGGATAAAAGCTTCATATTGAAGAAGTTATATATCAACGCTCTCAAAATTAATTTGAAATCACAAGAGTGTTTCCTCGAAAGTTACGTTTTGTTTGCAGATTTGTTTTACAGATACAGAACTCGTACAAGATCAAATAATAAGAAAATTCTCAAGGATAGATGAAGGGGGTGAGTTGGTTTTTAAAGCCTGCCATGCGTTAACTTTTGACAAGAAGCGAATAAAATATTGACTTGAATATTTCACGACAATCCAACCACGGCACAGAAATACCAAACTTTTCAAAACAGAAAGAGAACCACCTGATAAACAAGATCTTAAAACGCATGAAGTGGAATTTGGCATCCAGAGTCTGGTTCGGGTTCGGGTTCACTTAGCGGGCCGCACCAAATAGAGTTAAGACTAACGACAACCCTAACTCAATTTTAGACTTGAAACTTCCTATAGGCCAAAATATTTCCACCATTCCAAATTGGATATAGCGTTTTTTTAAGCTTGTCAAAAATTTGGTAGTGAGCACCTGGATTGTTACAGGGTATTGTTACAGTACATGTACAGTTGCAATCAGGTATCGCCTCTTACTATCGTCGAGGAAGGAAGAAATTCTACTATCAGTGTATTAAACGCAAAATAGACAGTGGCAGGTAAAAATCTTTTGGTTATTTTTTATTTAACTTTTATCAATTTTCTCTATACCAGGGACATACCTCTATCACAACATTGAGTTCTAAAACTTGAACAAAATGTATTAAATAACAATACTAAATAAGAAACATATGTTATTAGTAAGATCATTCTCTTCGTTCAATAAGCAATTTTGAATTATATGATTCTCTTTTCTACACTTGATATATTTCTGTAAAATTCACTTCTCTAACTGCAACTTCAACTTTTTTGTAAAAGTTTACTTAATTGTCTGGGCTTATTTAATGTTTTAGCATCTGTTAAAACTACTTTCTCAGTCATATAAATGTAATTTTTTTTTTAACTTTTTTTTCCTATTTTTGATATTGATAGCATATAACTGATAATTTTTATCTATTAAAATTACTGAAATATTTATAGTTGATACTTCTTTATTAAATATTTAGTTACTTGATAAATAAGCTCTATGCACAGTATTGAAGAAATTATTTGATCTTCTTATTTTCTTACTTTCATTAAATAATATTGCTAGAGATCATTAAGCTTCAAAAGTTTATAAATTAACAAAATCAAGATCTATAAAGCTAAGTTTATACATAAAAGAAACTTTCTTTGAATTAAATAAGATTAAATTTGTATCTAGTTTAAAATTATTTATAATAATTAGAGCTTAAAAATTTAGTATGAGCAGTAATATAATATATTTAAAATACTTTCATATTTATAAATTTAATTTAATATTTTGTTCAATTTAATATATGAATTATACATCTTTTTCAGTGACATAAAATAATTCACATTTAATAACTAGAATAAATTAAAAAATAAAGCAATTAATATTATAATAATTCATATAGAATGTATTGAACTTAATGATTATAAAATTTTTTATATCTATTTAATATTAAAAGTTTATAATTTTATATTATATAAATTTCTATATTCTGATTAAATAGTTTATGATTGAATTGTTCTCAATTTATCATTGATTCAGCTGTTCTTATTGATTTTTATTACGCAGTTAAGTAAGTGATCTTATATTGAAAAGTTTAATGATTTTTTTAAGTAATAATTATATATAAAAGAGTCAGTCAGATGTATGGATTAATTCAATCATTTTTACTTATTTTATACTATGTAATTGAATAGTAAAATATTTACTAGTTTGTACAATCTTTATTATAAACTCTTGCTATTAAAGCTAAATTTATATAGTTAAAAGTTGCTCTTATTAAATTTATAGATATTTTATTATATAATTTTACATTTTATAACTGTACTCTTTATTTATTTAAATTAAATGTATATAATTTTTTAATCTTTATAAAAAGTTTATTGTTAATTATACTTATATGTAAATTTATTTTCAATTCAGATATTAATCTATAAATTTAAATACTTAATATTTTTTCAATTATTTTTGAATTTAAAAGAAGTAAATTAATCATGTTTCAATATGCTTGCAATTTATCTTATTTATTCATGAATATTATTTATAACTTTATATATTCTTTTATAGTAAAGATTAATTTTTGATGTTTCTTCTGAAAATTCAAACATGTTTGTCAATTCTATAGTATATAAGAGAGATTTGCATAAGAAATATTATATAACTTAGCAGCAGCTAATATTCTAGTAAATTGATCATTTTTATAAGGTTGAATGACTTTTACAAGCCTCTTTTCTTGATTTCTTGATTTGAAGCTTTCATACTAAGAAGCTTCACATATTGAATCCACGTGTGAAGTTTAATATGGCGTTCTAGATGTCCCGGCAGAGGATGAATTACGTTACGTACCGATGTAACTACAGCAATTACCTAACTAGTTAGTTAACTAGTTAGTTGTTATCACATTCAATTACAAAGCAATCCAATCCCTTGAACTGGGCTTACAGTTTGTTGCGGGACCAGACTTCCGCGGTACTTGAAGAGGTAATTTTGCAGATGTGTATGTTGCGTGGTTTATAAGTTTCATTCTCCCGGCCGAGTTAAGCTTAAAACGTTACATGGCCACCGGTAGCACAAACACGTTTGGGCCCCAGAGAAGGTGTGAGTGTACCCCGTGTACCCCGTGTACCATTGTTTCCGCTCAACTCAAACGGAGGAATTGACACACAGAGTAATAGGAATGGGTTTAAAGGGAATAGGTTCCTTGGGAGGCTTGCAGGCAAAGATTTGAGTTTTTGTATCAAGTTTTTCTTTTATCTGGTTTGTCTTGGGTGATGATCTGTTGTTGATTCCTTGCACTCATCAGGTTCAGCTCATAGCATATAATGTTGGACGTCTGAAGTGGTTGTATTGGTAGCCTATCTCAGGGATGCTATATACTATTGTGCAGTGCGCTAGTCCATAATAGGAAGCCTAGGCTCCAACATATAAATCATGCCATCTGAATCTTGCATATTATTAGTTATGTAATGAGGTTATGATGACTAATGTAGTCAATCACCTAGCGAGACAAGATCACCTACTGAGACAGGTCTTCATTACATGATGTATTTAACTACTTAATTGATCAAAATGTCAGCAACCAAAGATGATAATTCTTTATACAAGGAAGGAAGACTTACTCTAGCTATTGAAGCAGTTAAAAAAGATCAAATTTTTAGTTTTAGAGCTGCTGCCAGATTGTACAACATCTCTCATTCCACTCTTTGTCATTGACTTCACAGCCATATGATGCAAGAGAACTCTCAGTTAAGAAATTGAAAACTGACCTCTATTGAGGAATTATCTCTTGTTCAGTGGATAATCTCCATAGATGAACATGGTCAGCCCCTCTGAGTGAGCACTGTATGAGAAACAGTCAATCTTCTTCTTGTTAATTGAGACAACTCTTTCAACTCAAAAACTATTGATGAAAACTGGATTAAATAATTTATTAACTGTCATTCTGAGTTAAAAACCTGATTCTTTCAATCATATGATCATCAATGAGCTCTATGTGAAGATCCTAAGATTATTCAAGAATGATTCAAACTTGTATGAAATACTATTCAGAAATATAATATTATATAGAAGGATATATATAACTTTAATGAGACTGAGTTTCAGATGGGAATTATTGAAACAGTCAAGATGATTACTGAGTCAGAGAAGTCTCTCTGTCTGAAGCTTGTATAGTCTGAAAATACAGAATGAGTTATTATTATTGAAAGAGTCAATTTAACAAACTGGTTATTACCTTCAATGATCATCCTTAAGAGGAAGTTACATCAGACTTCTTGGTTTGAGAATGGGCTACCATACAACTGAAGGATTGAAATCAGTGAAAATGAATGAACAACTGATAAGCTGGGTTTGATCTGATTTAAAGAAATGTTCAATAAACATACTCAAGTCTATATGATTAGTTAATATTAACTCTTAATTCTTGATGGACATGGCAGTCATAATGATTATGAGTTTGATCAGTTTTACACTAAAAACTTGATTATTTCTCTTTATATGTCAGCTCATTTCTCTCATCTCTTACAGTCTTTAGATGTTGCTTGTTTTTCCTCATTGAAGCAAGCATATAAAAAAGAGATTGAGAAGAAAATAAGACTTGACATCAATCATATTGATAAGAATGAGTTTTTAACTATCTATTCTTCAGTTTATTCAGCAGCTCTGAGTGAAAAGAATATTCAGAGTGGATTTAGAGCTACAGAACTAGCTCTATATGATTTAGAGCAGATTCTTTCTCAGCTTAATACTCAGATACATCTATCAACCCTCTCAGAGACCTCATATAGCTTTCAGGCCTTCTAGGCCACTGCCACATCTCATAATATATAACAACTGAAGCTTCAGAGTGAGAAGATTAAGAAATATCTCAAGTACTGTACACAGAGTCTACTAAGTTCAATCAATCAAGCTCAAAAAAGCTAGTCAAGAGATGTCAGATGACTATGTATAGTGTTATTATTTTAACAAGAGAAAACAAAGAGCTGAAGGCTGTAAATGCAAAGTAAAAGAAAAAGTGAGAAAGATGTCATACATATATAAGTCAGAAAGAGGACTTGATTGTTCAAGAAGAGGTGAATCATGTACAAAGAGGCATTGCAGAGAAAAGAGAGGTAATAGAGCAGTCTAATAAGCAATTACAAAAGTGAGCAGCATCACAGTGCAGTGAATGTGATGTTATAGAACATACTATTCATACATACTTCCAGTATACAGAGAATAATTTATAATATAATTAGCTGGTTTTACTATTTAGTTATAATGATATTCAATTAGAAAGATATTGAATGATGGAGATCTGTCTTAGTAGATGATCTATCTTGCTAGATGATTAATTACATTAGTTAACTAATCAATCAATTTGAATTCTGTCAATCTAAATCTCTATATACCTAGTTGATAATAAGTCATTATTTGAGCTTAGAGACTTGTTATAAAAATAAGCTCATACAATATAAAGAATTAATTGATTTTCTTTTGAAATTTATGTATTTTATTTTAATTTAATCTTAGCTAACTAGATATTAAATCAATAAAATACTTAAAGATCAAATAAACATAATAAATTTATTGCAAACAAAATAAAGAACATTTCAATAAGTGAGATTAGAACAGACAGATGAGAAAGTAGTTAAATTAATCAAAATATCACTTCATACAGATCATAGTCTGCAATTTAATGTTCATTCATTATTTGTCAGAGACAATAAAACTATAGTTTAGCAATAGCATTTGCTATACTTTGATAGCTGTATAATGTTTCTAAGAGACAGAATGATGTAAAGAAGTAAAATATGAGATCACAGTAATGTTAATAGAATGTGTATATTAAATTGAAAAAATGACCAATTATCAGTGAAGATTAAAAAGAATATAAATAAAACAGTGCTGATAAAACTAAGAAAACAAAGATAAAATTAATAATAATAATAATAATAATAATAATAATAATAATAATAATAATAATAATAATAATAATAATAATAATAATAATAATAATAATAATAATAATAATAATAATAATAATAATAATAATAATAATAATAATAATAATAAATAATTAAAAATCAATAAGCTTGGTTATAGACTAATTCATTATTGAAAAGTGAAGTATAATAGTGCTAACCCAAGTCAAAGCATAGTCATGTATGTCATTCATGTCATGATCATTCCAAGCTCATTAAGAGCGTCATGTCATATAGTGCATGTAAAATTTTCGTGACCGCAGTCATTGCCGGATCCTTTTCCTTTCCAGTTTTTATTGCCAGGTCAGAAAAGAATATAATGAAAGGATTAAAAATATGGGAAGCAAATACCATGCAGAACGTAAAAATCGTATAAGAATAATTTATCAAAAGCAATGTATATATCACTTCGAAGAACGGGATAACATTGAAAACACATCACACATATAAAAAAAGTAATCTCCCCGAGATGAAATAACATAAAAATAAA